CCAGTCTGTAGTCAGTGCCTGGACTCTGGGCTCCTTTATCTATCTCACCTCAGGTTATGGGCTTCCAGAGAGGAGCTGGACATCTCATCACACATGCACAAGTGAAAAGTGTATTCTATGGTGTCTTATGGCGTCTCTCTCTCTCTCTCTCTCTCTCTCTCTCTCTCTCTCTCTCTCTTGCTCTCTCGCTCTCTTTCTTACTCATGATAACTCAAATTCCACAAGTGAAAAACCATACATTCCAGTGGAACTTGCTATAACAGTCAGTTATATGAGTTTATATTTTTATTTGTACTGTATTCTTTTTCTAACGACTTTTAAAGTCTAATAATGGTCTTTCATGTAAAAAAAAAATATTGTAAATCAATATCAGATAAAGTAATTTAATTTCTGAACTTAATAAATAAGTGTAAAAACATCAATAGATATATAGAAATCTTATGGAACCAGTTTCACAGTCACAAAAATGGCAGGGAGTCACACACTTGTGTAAGAGGGGAATGGTGTAGATGTGAGGCAAATATAGGAATCAGTCTTAGATTCATCTGAAGCTATTTTACTAAAAATTCAAATAAATAAAAATAAAATAATAAAAAAAGAATATAAATAGATAGAAGATATAGATAGATAGAGTTAGAAATCTAGCAATCCAGATAGTGATACACCTTACTGGCTGCTACAAGGCCAAATTTATGGGTTAGTACATTATGCCCTTCATCAGAAGAGTGTTGGTTTAAATCCCATGGGCCCTTGAAAAAGGTCCTTAACCCCATTTGCTATAAAGGCCTGGCAGAGCCTATACTTTTTCACTTGTTCATTGCTTTGGATATATGCTCTGTTACTTGTCTTATATGAAGTACTGGCCACTATGGGATTGTATAACCTGTTTGTTCCAGATTCTAATCTGTCTGTCAGTTCTTGTGACTGGTACAGTATGATAAGGTACAGGATGCAATGTGACGTCATCCCTGCTTTGCTTACAGTACAAAGCAGTGTTTATGCTAACGAAAGAACTGCCAGTTTATGCTGATTGACTACTGAGAAATTGAAGGTTTATACTCACTAGCCTCTGCAAAGAGAGAAAAGACTAAGTGCAGTTCCACTGTCGCCAAGTTTCTCCTGTTTCCTATCATAGTCATGGTGCCAACATAAGTATGACTCATATCATAGTTCGCGATTAGCCATCAGGTTCATGAAGTGGGCTGCATGTTTAGTGAATTTGACTCTCTGGGAATGCTTAGTAAGCTCGAGGTGAGCACCTTTTAACTGGCTCGCTGTAGGAATGAAGATGTCTGAGGCAGCTCAAGGGGCGACATGGGCCTGTTTGAAGGGCACCACATTAGCCCAACTCCTCCACATCAGCCAGCTCTGGTTGTCCAAGAAGTGGCAGCATGTTCAGCTCTGCATACACCTCCCTTTATGCTTTGAGTATAAAACGGAGACCAGTGCCATAACATGATGGGGAGGTTGCAAGGGTATCAATCCACATCTCATCCATCAATGATTTTAAATGCCCCTTTGTTCTGGACTCAGACAGGGCCCATGTGTGCCAATCGAGCACCCCCAGCAAGATCTAGCAAACACCGCCTGCTCCTCACCAAGAAAAGTAGGGTTGCAGTGGACCTCTCACTGCAGCATCTACACTAAGCAGTGGGCGTATAATGCTTTTTTGCTGCATAGTTTCCTATCTGGTGAATAATCTGTGTGTATGGTCTTTCCTGTTTTACTGCATTTTTCATGGCCCAGTGAGCTGTTGTCGACTGCAACAACTGCAGTCTTTGTGACAGAGGTAAATTATTCTTTAGAATTTATAAAATTGTAAAAAAATTAAAAAGATGAAGTTTTATTTAGTGAACGCTGTCAAGCATGCTTACACAACATGTCATACTGAGAAGATCCTTAACAGTGCCAGAAGTAAGCTAATGAACTAAAATTGTTTGGTTTTTAAAAAACATACCCTAAATGCCATTCTCATCCTTTCACGTTCAAATCAGCCACTATATATAACAGAGGGACCATTGACTGGGCACCTATAATGAACTTGGGACACAACAGTGTGAAGAGTCTCAGCATCACAGGCATCAAGAGAGGACTGCAATGAGGATTCTCTTATGTGCAATCATAAGATTGTCTTGCACATGGCTAAAGCCAAAACAAAATGGAGCCAGAACATTCAATTCAATTCAATTCAATTTTATTTTATTTATATAGCGCATTATCACAACATTACATTGTCTCAATGCGCTTTACATTTCTGCCTCGTAAGGACCCCCCATTGAGTAAGCCAAAGGCAACGGTGGCAAGGAAAAACTCCCTAAGAGGAAGAAACCTTGGGAGGAACCAGACCCAAAGGGGGAGCCCATCCTCCAGGGGCCGGCAGATGAGTCAAACAAACAAGATGAAATGACTAAGCTAATACAGACAAGATTAAATGACTAAGCTAATACAGGGGTTGAAATATATGTCTCAATGCAGCGGCCGACCGGTGCAGGCACGTGGTGCTTGATGCACGATGGCAGGATTAATAGACACACAGCCGCAGGATGGATGGCGAGGCATCGTGTTGAGCCAAGGGCAGGCAGGTTGGAGGGTAGTTGCCGGAGGTGGAGGTAGTTGTCTTGCAGGCCGCAGAGGCATAAACTCTTCAACGACATTGTGCTCCATGGAGCACACCCCAGAAGGGGTGAGGGAGGAAGTAAGAATAATTGTGTATTAGCCAGAGTTGAGGAAACCAGAGGCAGTGCAAGCAAAATGATCGAGTGCAATATTCGTCTAGGCTCCGGCAGATCTGAGTATAGCAGCATGAGAAAGAGGGAGAGACATCACCTTTGTTCAAACTGAAGTCTTCCTCAGCATTCATTGCTTGGTTCTCCTGCAGAACCTTCCCAACATCTTCCTCTATCATGCTCAGTATCTAGGGCAGCTGGACCAGACCAATGAGTTGTTGTTGATTGTCAATGTACCACTGACTGGCTGTTTTCATGTGTGCAATGACAGATACCTTAGACATGAATAAAGATTTGGTTTATTATTTATGTAAATGTGTTTTATGCAATTATTATTGATATATTAAAACCAGAATGAAAAAACGTACTTCTGCTTTTCCCGGTGTTAATGCATCCTCACATTCATCCTGTACCTGCAAAACATAACACTTAGTTACAGTTATCTGTCACCTGGTTATTTCAGAGCAGTACTCTTAACCTCCCTGGAAAAAACTGAATTGGACCACATTGGATTATTTTCAGACATCCCACATTTTCTGTAGTTCCAGAAGTCTACTGCATACAGCTTCTTGACACCCTCAGATGACACAGAACATCACAAGAATGTGTTTTGTGTGTGCAGGAGTCAGTGTGAGACTGAGGGGGAATTCTGATTGGCCTCTCTTTGTGCTAAGTAAACCTGCATGATTTCTCTGTATGTGGGATAAACAAACACACCTTAGGGTCCCACTTAGATTCACCTAATTTGTGACTACATCCCATAACTTTTATTTGTGCTACCGTCCATTACAATCTTTCCATCACAAAGGAGTTTTCCAAATTTTAGATGTTTAAGTGCTATCAAATACCGTAGTGTTACCTCTCTGAATTGAGTTTTTCTGGGTTGGATGTCTGAATTTGTACCAGCTTCCAAAAAGATGTGAATGAGCCAGATAAGTTGACATGATATATTGAGCATTAATGCTGTTTTTACTTTCTATGAGATTTATAGCAGAGCACTGATGGCACCTCTGCTGGGAGAGTTTCTGAAATTTCCCGCTCGAGTGAAACGTATTCAATAAATTGTAAATGTGTACTTGCGCTGTCTCTTCAAGCTTTCTTTTGCGTAGGCGGAATACAGGCTGCCATTCACCACTCAAAAAAGCCTTGGACTCCTCTGTCCAGTGGGCAAAGAGCTTGCCATGGCTGAAAAAAGGAAATAGATCAAGTAAATAAATAAAATCCAAATGCAACTACTATAAGAAACATGGAAGGTGTAGGATCACACATGCACATATCACAGAGCTTAAATTCCAGGTGGCCTGACACAAGGCCCAGCCCGGTACAAGAGGTACACATTGACCTAGGGACCAAAGGGGGGTTAGTGACCCCCCCCCCCACACACACACACACACAGATAACCAGGGAGGCCAGCACTCCAACTTATATTGCCCAAAGATTTAGGGACCTACAGACAGCAGAGTGGACCTCAAGGACAGGGGTCCCTCGACTTGGCACACAACCCCCTCGTCATGTTTACCATTACATAATGCAAATAAGACAATAGATGAATATATGATGAATATTAAGCATGAAATTTGTACTAGTGCTTACCTATGAATATAGCAAAATATTTAACCCACATGTCCTCTGCAGTTTTTGTATCCACCCATAAATACTCTTTCATTTGCTTCGGTGTTACCCACAACGTTTGAAAAACCAAATAATTAATGATGTCCTCAAGGGACAGTGGGTGGTCACTTTGCTTTCAGTGAGTAAACCATAGACCTACTTGACTTGCTTGCATTCACACTAGGGTGACCACTTGTCTGGATTTCAGATGGACAGTTCAGATTTACAGCCCTCTGACTGCTGTTAGTTGTCCTCTTTTAGCCCCCTTGTCCTCCAGTTCCTCTCCCCCCTACCTGCCTCCTTGTAAATAACTAGGGAAACTATCTCTTAGTCAAGATGGTGCCAGAGGTGGTCACCTTGTCATGTTGCTCCGTTATTTGTTTTTGTTTGTTTGTTTTATAATATTCTTAGTTCCAATCCAAACAGGATCTCTTATACCAGAAATAATTTACATAACATGCAGAACACTTGTCAACAAGAAGTTCCTGCAGATACGGCTACAATTCTTGATTCTTTGGGGATTTTAGTCCGTGAAGTGGAGACCTGGTGAAATGAAGGAAACGAAGAAAGCATGCGAGTGTTCAGCTGGCCTTTCGGAACAAAAGACTACGCTCACTGCTAGTGGTAATTATCTTTGCAAACCTGCAATCTTTGAGTAATAAACTGGACAAGTTATGACTACTGATGAGGATGAAATATGACTTTACAATTTCACTTGTTTTCTGCTTTACAAAAATCTGGGTATCTCAGTAGAAAGGAATATCCCAGACTCTTTACTAATCATCCTAGGGGACTTTCTAAGGAAATAACTACCAAAATACTGGCAGCATGTCACCTGTGCTACCAGATAAGTTAAAATTCCTGGCCATTGCTACAGCGTGATTTAGCCCTTTGGTGTCTGAGGTCTCTCGACATTTGCTTTTATTCAGCACAAACTCGGCACTGATGAGTCTAACACCAGGTTATTTTCAGTCCATAGCGCAGCTGCCCATTCCTAGGCTCTGCTGGTTAGTACAGAGATCATGAAGCACTTTCTGAAAATGCTCCGGGTGTGAATCAATATACTAGTCACATTGCATTAAAGAAAATGAGCAGATGGATGGCCATTTCTGGAGGGTTGGCCTGGACCGCGTGGCATCCTGGGGGATCGCCGGCTGGGATCCCAAGGAGTTTCGCACATGTGCTGGGTGCGGCAACGCGCTGCATCAGCCTGACCTGACCGGATTGCATTAAAAAAGAGCGGCACTGGTTAGGATTCCTTTTGGTGTTGTCTCGGATGATTGGGATACCTGCTGCTGGTCAAGGAGGTGATATGGGAAGGGGAGCTGCTGCCCTGCAGAGGGCAGGAGTAGAAAAGGAAAGCAGGGAACAGGAGACCCAAAGGACTCAGCAAAAACACTGTATGAATGGAAGCAATGCCTCGTACTGGGTGCAAGAGCAGGCAGGGATTTAAAGGGCACAGGACAGATGCAGGCACTAATTGGGGCAATAAGGAGGATACACCTCACGGGGCATGGAAATCACAATGTATTAACAAATAATAACATGATTGAATATGCGATTAATCACACGATTAATCACTCAGTTTATGCGATTAATCGTGAAGAGAAAATTAATCAATCCCAGGCTGCAGCATTTCTAGTTCACAAAACAAGCAGATCTACTTCCCTTCTTCTTACAACTTTCGCTTTTGCTTCTATTGTCACAAACAATGTTAAAGCCATTAATTACAACCATGGAGTTTGGCTAGTAGCACTGGCTTTTGACAGGGGATGCACATCCAGCAGGTCCTGTCATGTGTAAGTGAACAGCAGTGCCTGCTCAAATATACTGCCATCCATGAGTGGAATAAGCATACCAACAATGATAAACAGCAGGACAACATTCCTGTGGCGGAACTAAAGTGTTACAACTCATCCCATCTGTTGGATTACTTGTAATACCTGCTAGGAAGGTATGTTTGAATGCAATTGATTGAAAAACAAGTATGATGAAGAAATTTACTTTAATGCCACGAAAACACGCACTGCTGTAAATCTTCACAGCATATCCAAACTCTGAAAATTTGTGGGAGACCATCTGCTGATAATATGATAAAAAGACTGAAGCAGTGTTATATTTAATCCCACATTAGGACCTGAGTGCAGCCATGTGGCGGGTGGTACCTCAGCACCACACCAGTTCAAATGGACCAGTGAGAGTTTTTTTCCAGTGGATGGAGTGCCAATCCTGCCACCAACGCCCAAGTTTTCCCCTGAAAGTTGGAGGAGCTCCTCATAGGGCTGGATGTAGATTAACGTCACACCCAGGACGAAGAATTTGCAGGTTAAGGGCCTTGCTCAATCACCCAATGGAGTAAAATTACTCTGGGCATTTACGGGATTTAGAAAAAAAGATAACTAATTTTGTCTGTTTGCCCTTAAGATACTTAAAAGTATTACACTTCCATGATAATTTTAGACACACTGTAAAGTCACGTTAATGAAACGTGGTGACAGGGTCAGCACCCATCTGACCCTGTCCTATGTGTTCTGTGACCAGGAGGTGGCTGGCCAGCCTGTTCCCTCCTCCATCTTTTAGTCCCTTAGCCCTAGTGTGTTCTCCCTGTTCAGACTGCCCCATAGCTCAGTGGGTTGAGTGCCTGGCTCAGAAACCATTAACTGTCTGATGGTTAATGGTTTCTGGCTCAGAAACCATTAACTGCTTGAGACTCACCTGTTTATTTGCATTTACTGTTTTTGTTTCTGTTACTTTGTTTCCCAGTTATAGGTTTGCCTGCTTTTTGTCCTGTTCGCTTCCAGTCCTGTTTGTATTTTAGTTCCATGTTACTTATCCTAGTGTAGTATTCCCAGTGCGGTTTGTGTTTACTAGTTCAGTGTTTGTTAGGAATCCCTTGTTCTGTCCTTATTATTGTAAGTGGCCCCATCTGTTGCTTGTTGTTCTGTCTCGGTTGACTGCTCAGTTGTCATGTTCCAGACCTACCCTCTCGTTAGTCAGTAACCTGTTTCCATTTAAGTGCCTGCATCAGTTCTGTTCTTTAGTTAGTTATTGTATGTGATTCTGTGTTTGTTATGCTGCCTGATTTCTGAGTTATGTGGCCTGTACTACGAAGCGGGGTTACTGGCTTATCGGGGTAACTTTGTGAGTAACTTGATGACGTGTGGTGTAACTTCGCGATTAACCCGTACTACGAAAGGTGGGTAGGTTTTAGTCGAGACATGCTGCTATGGCAATTTACACTAAGTCTCATACCTGTTCCGAGCAGTTTTTGTTCTTGTTTAAGTCGAGGTTTCTGCGTAAGCCAGCCCTATATGAGCACCGCCCCTCCAACTACAATTTCTCCAAAGACAATGCCGACGTACCTGATCCATACCACATTGGCGCGCGAATCGTGAGGGGCTCTCTCTGTTAATATGTATGAAATGGAGCAATGGCATATAATATGCATTCAATGTATTAATTAATAACTGTTAGAAAGTTATTCTGAAAACCCAAGGGGTGTGCATTGTTCCCTGTTGTCCACTGATCAAAGCACACTTCACTAGATGTGCCTGTCTTGTCTAGTTTTAAAGTTATTAACCCATTCATGTGTTGTCCTATTGCACAGTATACGGATACATTCGAACATTCAAAAATTAATTAAAATTCGTACGTAAAGCAATATGAAAAACAAAGGGGTGTGCAACAGTTGCCATGAGCACAAAATGCTAAACCACCATGTCATTATAGCTGAAAGGACCTATTATATTAGCTATTAAACTGATTTGGCACAAATCACGAAATGGTTTGAAGTGCAAAAATAATGTGTGCATCGATGTCTGTGTACCGGACATCACGATTCTGTCATTAAAAATGCCCCACCTGACTTCTATTAAAAGTTATTAAAGGCAGAAAACTGAATATGGAATATGAGGCTAACTTAACCGCGGTGACAGGTTCCTAGTCGTTTTCTCACTACACAAATGCATCTGTTTTGTCCTGTTGTAAATCATTTAATTGTTTGTTAAACAATGGCTCACCTTCTATTAAGTGTCATATGAACCGACACCTTTTTATTATTAGCTGTAAAGCATAGAAACACACTATTAAGTGGAGGCTAGACACAACAAACCTTTCATAATGAGTAGAAATATAAACACATAGCCCTACCACTTGACATGATGTTTTTATATTTCATCTTGCTGCCACATACGCTTTCCTCTACTATTGCATTTGAAATCGGATCAGTTAATTTATTGATAACATTAGGTTTACAATATGAGTAACATCACACAAACCCCAATGCAGTTAACACCGATGTAACAAATCAACTTCTTAACTGGCATTGTAGTACTGATTCGGGTTGTCTCAGTCAGTGCTATTTTGTCAACCCCGTGTCCGCAAATTAACTGCAGGGTAAATCTGATTTGGTTAAGCCCCCTTCGTAGTACAGGCCACTGTTCTCTAGGGGGTATTCCATGAAAGTAGCTAAAGAAAGCCAGACTTTCCCGAAAAAGTCACACTCAAACTAGCGCCATCTCTAAAATTAGCCTTATTTCATTCCGCTAATGCAGTTCAGCTTTAATTAATCGAGGCTCATACAAGACAGACTTGCAGTCTCACTTAGTGCGCACACCCGAGATATTTAAGAAGCCCAGATGAATGGATGAACAATAGATCAATCAAATGAGTCGGAAAGTGTATAAAACAAGAGCGTTTTTTTTTCACCGCAGAACAAACGCTGCTGATGGAGCTGTACGAAAAATGCAAAGATGTAATCGCTAAAAAGGCAATACTGTGGCCATAAATACAGCCAGGGAGTTGGCTTGGCAATGAAAGTTTTTAGTTTGATCCCCGTAACCACCGGGGAACCTGCTGGGTTGAGTTCACCTGTCATTCTTACTGTATAATGCTATTCTGTATTATTTGATCTCTAGAAAATACTTTCAATCGCATCCTTGTGAAATGTTCTGCACAAATAAGCGTATCTTGTCTTTGCTATTTTACTCATAAACTTTCAAAGTACACAATGACTAAAAATATAAAAATATCTTCCTGTTCATATTATTTTAACCGATTTTTTTTTCAGTTTCAGTCATTGCATTTCATGTTTGACCTTTGTAATATGGGTATGTTTTTACTTGAATTATTTTGTAATTAATTAGAATGTTGAGAATTTTTTTTATGGGCTTTATTATATCTATTACACGACATAGCCTAAGTAGTGAGAGCGCGGAATTTCGTCCCAACAGAACGATCTTTTGGGAATCTGTTCCCACACGTCGGACGTTCTTTGAGACAACGCTTTACTAAGCGAGACAGTTAACCTGGTCCGGAGCAGACTTGTTCACTCGCCTAAGTTACCATGGTAGCTCAGCAGGGATTCATTTAAGACACGTTGATGGAACGAAATTCCCACTTAAATGAGCCAGACTTGTCGAAATAAGTCAGACTTTCCCTTAAGCCTGCTTCATGGAAAACCCCCCTAGTTCCCTTTGTGGGTCTTCTATGGTTCAGTTAATAGTGTTTTATCCCTGTTTAGTTTTAGACCCTTGTGGTCCCATTGCTTTGTAGTTTACCCCAGTGTGTTCTGTTTTCATTAATAAACCCCATGTTGTCTTGTGAGCCGACAGTAGATTACCTTCTTTCCTGTCTGCTCCATGCTGCACCGTAACAGTGTGCATTGGATGTTATATATTGCAAAAAAAAAAAACTATAAAAGAAAATTGTTGTTTCTGAAACGAAGTTTAAATGTCAAATACTTTACATTATCGTTTTAAAATACTTTTTAGTTAATGTAATGACTTGTTTATCCTTGGTCCTCTTTTGTGCAATGTAGGCCTAAATTTCGACACAGAACCAGCGGCAACCGTGAGGCAAGAGCCAGAGGGACAGATAACCAACGAGGTAGAGCAGGGGGAACTGCAGGCGACTGATGAGCAGGAGCAAGGGGAAGCCGCAGGTGACCAGACTCCAGAAAGACAAACAAGGAAGCTGAAATACACTGAATCATTAGACAGGACTAAAGACAGCTGGTAACCAGGAGGATTCCACACGAGGTAAATGAGGGGGCGTGGCACACAGGAGGAACGGCACAATCAGGGCATGACACTATTGGAGTGCTGGAACATTATAATCAGGTGTGACAGATTACAGTTGGTCCTAAATTGTAAATTATTCATACATCCATAAAACAAACACAACGAATAACTAAGTGTACTGTAGTTAACCAAAAAGGCTACATATACAGTACGATTGTACTGTAAAACAAGGATAGCTAAATGTTCATAAGGCAATTGCATGGCAAACCAGTTGTTTTAGCACTTTATTTGCACATTTTTATTTATACAATCCTAGCATCCATCCTCTGATTCAGGAGCACTGCAAGCACATTACTCAGTGATTTGCTGTTGCTCTCATACTTCCATAATAAATAACTGCATGTCTGACATATAATTACAAACAAATTAAAAGGGAGCCCAAAACCCCTCATCCTCTGATCCACTCTCAAAGATGTGTTCAGTCAAAACAGAATGAAGCGTTATTGCCTCAGCAGCTTCATGATATTCCATGGAATGGAATGAACTTGTCCAAGGAATTTATCACCGTTCTCTGTGTACCAGGAGTATGCAGCACGGACATTACTCATGATCCTTGATTCCTATTTTAAATAGAAAGAAGATGAAATGGAGAAATACATGGTGTGCAAAAAATCAGTCTTTTTTAGAATCATGTTTATAAACACTCTATACTTCTACATATGAATTCAATATTTCTTGAACAATTACAAATTTACCAAACGGCACAAGCTAATATTGTTCATATACACTGTGAGAAAGACAGTGATGGAATACTGTTGTGCAGGTGGGATACCACTTTTGCATAATCCCCCTTGTAATATGGGCAAAAGGGACAATGTAAAAGATGGTAATTAGCTGCAGGTCATCTCGCTGGAAGTGGAATTTCTCATTGACAAGTGATGCTGAAAGAGTTGTTTACAGCAATAAGCAATATGTCATTACTGTAAATAACTAATCGTGCTTACCGTATCATTTACACATCTTGTACTGTTCTGTACATACTGCATTTATATCCCTGTGCTGACACACACTCGTGCACTTTTATACATTTATAAACAACAAATTCACATTGTATATAACAGCTAGACTGTACTGACAAACTGTGTATGTATCTGCTGTGGAGACAAATTCCCTGTATATGGGAACATACTTGGCCAAATAAATCGGATTTTGATTCTGGTGTCTAATGTTAATTGTCAGTTTATATTTTGATTAGCATGCGCATTTGTAATCGGCACATCATCAGTGTCATGATTTAACCTTAGTTTTAGTTTAATTTAAACTGTAGATTGTTGGCTGTAGCAACACAGACAGCTCACAAGAAGTCTTCCTCAAACAAGGACATGAGTAGCTTCTGGTGCAAAACGTAAGTAAAGCTCAAGTAAAGGAAATTCAATAGGGTGGTTGCTTCCACATTACAAAATAAGGTAAATCGAGCTTTGTTGTGGGTATGATTTGGAAAGGTTTGGCACACATTGTGAAAATAAAATATAGATTTTGTTGAAATTTGTATTTTTTCTGAGAAAATATTATGAACCATAATTGATAATTTGTTTAGAAAAATGGGATTGTCCTCTGAAATACTGCCAGTCACATTTTAGCCATTCTGGGTTTGTTTTGGATGGGTTTGGCCCACAGGGACACCGAAGTGCATAATTTCCTCAGTAAAGCTTGTTAGGTTCCATCAAATTAAGTCAAATATCTCCACTGTGTTGAAATATTCTCAAAATACCATAACAGAAAGTTGCCACTTTGTTCAACATTTTCAATTTTCTACTGTTTCTAAATTATGGAAAAGTTATGAGTTTCAATTATTCAAGAAATTGAAATAGATGGTACAGTTGTCAGCTTTGATTTGAGAAATTAGAAATTTGAAAATTGGACTAATTCAACATACACATAAATAGTCTACGTAAAAGCAGAACACAGCAACATTACATTACAGCACATTACCCAGGTAGAAAAATATTAATATAGACAGCGTTAATAATTAACATCAACAGTAATATCAACAGCTGTGAAATGTCTACAGATTGTTGTTAACATTCTGTAATGCATTAGTCATAGTTATTTAGTAATTAAGGCTTGATTTTTAGATGATTAAATATATAGATTAGCTTATGCTATTTAATAAAACAGGTACGACATTACAATAAGCCTCACTTTTGCCACTTGTAAATGGTAGTAACTCATTAATAAAAAGATACCTGTGTTATAACTTGTTTAAAATTGTGTTACAACCTAATTAATAACCAGATCATAAACCATTTGTAAACCCTTTATATGGGGAGCCTTATTGTAAAGTGGTACCCAAATCCACATACACTATATCTTGTTTTTTTCTCACGGCTGTAGGAATGCAGCCCAGGTCTCCAGCTTGCTGTCCTGGTTTAAGTTCATGGTTCATGCTTGGACCAGGAATCCAGGTCATCATAGATCTTTCTGGGTGGCAGGCGTTCATATATTTCACATATCTTGCAAAATTGCTCCTGCCAGCTGTGGTACCTTTTAACATCATAATCACTGCGCCAACGGAAGTATGAGTTGTATCGCTCTTTGTCT